AAAAAAAAAAATGGGAAAGATCAAGAAAAATGTTTGATTTGGCCCCTTTTTGGCGGGTCGGTCGGGTGAGGGCAAACAAACAATATTTTTATTATGGCCCTCGATTGTAAATATGGACACCACTTGAACATTACAGCCAGTATGACATGGTACTTGTAACTTTGACCTGCTGTGTACGTTATTCGTCTTCGTGTTAGCCGGCTCAATCACACCTACTCTCAAGACCAGGCATCGTAGATATCTAACCCAGTTTAACTTTGCAGACAATGTGTCCAGCTATATATATATACAACTTCAGGGTGCTGTGTATTTATGTATGACGTAACCTGTTGCATGATGAAAGAATTAAATTTAATACACTTTCATATCCAAGCGTCGTACTAGGCTCTTCCGTCTCAGTTCTCCTCGTCCTGCCTGCGACATTAGGCTGCACTCGTGCCAGAGCATGCGCAAAGCAGGAATGTCGTGTCAGAGTGTGAATGTTCGGGGTTTTTATTGCAGGCATACGGTCCGTACCAGGTGAACGACTCGCTAGCATCCATCAACGCTGTCGTAGATGCCTCGGAGCTGCAGGTGCAACAGCAGTGGGATGAGATCTGCGAGCGTATCCGCAAGAGCATCCTGGGTACGTGCAAAGTCTCCCCTGCGCATGCTCTAGTCCGTAGGGGAGTCGGCTGTGAACATCCAGGTTTATTTCGTAGCTCCTGCAATCTCTTTTATTGATTTCACCTATCACACATGTACCAAGCTATTGATTATTTATGTGACAACTTTGTGCCTTTTTTGCATGGTTGTAAAAATATTAAATTAGGGTGAAAATAATTATTATTAATGTTATTAATATAATAATAATAATAATAATAATAATATTATTATTATTGTTATTATTATTATTGGTGTTGCTGTTGTTGTTGTTGTTGTTGTCTCCGCTAATGTGGATCACGTACATATGGTTTTGGTGTCTCTCAAGCTACACCAGAGAGTATATCTGTTTAAATGCAAAAAGAAAGTCGAAAAAACGTGGGCAGAATCAACACCCGATAGTAAAGAGAAATGTGTGGAATCTTGGATGTAGGCCATACTTCCAGTAGAGTATTACAGCTCTACTTACGTACTTCCTAACAATGATTTATTGATAGCAAATCGGTTATACTCGTTAGCCACTTTGATTAACATCTTCTGATTTAAGTTTGTTCCCTGCTGATAGTAGAAGTTAGTAACGGCTCTATTGCCTCTTCCGGCTATCGAGCAGAACAGCTGGTAGAGCTGCTGAAAGCGGCATAGTCTGAATTCAATGCCTTGACAGAGCTGTTCTACTTTAAGATCCTCTGCTCACTTGCAAATCGAACTGCCACATTGATGTGCCTCGTACGTAAGATCGCTTGTTGTTGGGGAACAGCATAATTGGCGGTCACATTGTCATCGACACATTCTTCTCGCATTCACAGAGAAGATGTCCAAGCTTCCTGTGCTTACACAGCAGCCGGAGTTCGGCTTGGATGAGTTCAGATACCTGAATTACGTGCATAGCCTGCTCTGCCTCTACCCTGTTGCGGATGTGTGGCGGGACTATAAGGTGAGGGGCTGCAACTGACGAAATCGATCTAGATAGGGTGCGAAAGAGTAGATGTCACACCTGAACCACCCTGTTAGGTTAACAACTTTTCCGCGGTGTGCCCAGAGTGGCATTTTTAGCTTGCCTTGACATCGTCAAGATGAGCTATTGCCATGGAGTGTTGTCCGTCGTACGTCCGTCAGTCAACATTTGGCTACGGTCAACGATAACTCAAGTACCGTTTGGCCCACATGTTTCAAATTGCATATATAGTTGTTACTCCTATGGGAAAGGTTTGAACGTCCTATTTTGGAGCACGCCAGTCGACCTACATTCGAGCCACGTCCACTTTTTGGCAAAAATGGAAATGGCCATAAGTCAGTTCAGGTTCAACGGATTTTGCTCATTTCTATAGTATGTGAATGAATAAGGACTGGCCCCAAAACATATCAAACAGGTTTTGATTTTTTTTTTAATTATGCAAATTAGGTAGATTTTGGCAATTTCACTGTGCATTTCAGTGTCTGCCTACGGTCCTTACTCCTATGGGAGAGATTTGAACGTCCTATTTTGGAGCACGCCAGTCAACCTACTTTCGAGCCACGCCTACTTTTGGGCAAAAATGAAAATGGCCATCTAAATTCATTCGATTTTGTTAAATTTTGATATGTGAATGTGTCAGGCTAGCCCCAAAACAGTTGTTACTCCTATGGGAGAGATGACAACGTCCTATTACGTTTATTTTGTCTAACTGGTTAACAACTCTACAATCATACCTATATACGTGTAATATTGTGTTTTAGATTCTTCGTTACAGTAATTTGACTGGAATATTTTATTGTTTTTATTTGCGCGATGTTCGAAAACCAAAATGGCGATCATTTAGGCGTAGCGTCATCTCTCTTCAAGATTTCAGACTTTCAGATCTGAAACATTTATTTTCGCATCAAAACTTATGCATATATCATTATCAAGAGTATATAATGGGAGTTCTCCCATATATACTCTTGCTTTATATATCCCCCCTCTCTCTTCTATCACACCCAAGGTGAGCTACAGTGTCATTGACACTTTCATTTTATTACAAAGTTATCCATTAACTACGTGTGTGCATGGGGCTGTGTTGCATTGTGTTGGGCACGCGATGACGTCGCTGAAATTCACGAGCCACGTTGCTGCAATTATCTGATTTCCTTAGGCAACTCGAAGCAAGTTCATCGACAGGTGCATCAGGGAGTTGATGCCTTCACTCACAGAGGGCGTTGACATTAATGCCGTTGCGAGTAACTTCAACCAGCTGTGTGACATCCTCCTCTCCGTGGTTAACGAGGATTTCCTCGTGTTTAGCACAGGTGCGCATGCATGCCTCGCGATAGATAGGGTTTACGTAAATTTGAAAAAATATTGAAAAATAATCGTATTATTATTAAACAATGATTAATTAGAATGAATTAAACAATGATTAATTAGAACATGTAATTTGTTTTTGGAAAATAATTTATCGGTGCATGGAAAATGGAACTTTGTCATATAGCATTTTGGTATTCAGATTTTTTCATAAATAATATGGGGAAAGGATATTATATTTAAAAGACTTCGTCTTCAGGTTTATTATATTTTCAGCTTTTAGTCTTATGCATTCATTTGTCAGTATTTAGCAGGCTACCCTATTGCATTTCAATTTGAAAGTGAGCCGGTTACTGTCTAGATTGATAAAAAAATACTGTCTTGGCAGGTGTATTCAAAGATGTACTCACCACATTCGATGCTGTCAGTGACACGTACCTAGAAAAAGTGTCGGATGAGCTTATTGGAATCATTGAATATATCCATGACGCTACCATACAAATGGACTCGACAAAGGTGAGGCAGATACGTTTGTGGTACCTGTGAGTCAGATACAGTCATACATATGTGAGGCAAATCCGTTTGTTGGTACCTGTGGATTTCTTTTCGGGCAAGTGGATTGAAATTTTCACTAACCCAAATTTTTACATTGAAGTGACCTGAAGTTTTCATGTGTTTTGAGCACTGAGTGAGGCAGACACATCTATGTTTGTGTAAGGCAAATTCATACACTCATAAAACTAATCCTAGCCCTAATCTTACCCTAATCTATGGCTACTGTTATACTTTACACTCCAGCCAACATGACAATAAAGTGAAATGAAAATAAAATCTAGGTATATTGTAGGTCTGATATATGTGGTTCTAGAAGAGTGCAGCATTATGTGAAGATAACTCATTACACAGCCGACCTGCTAAGACTGAATCATTATTCCAGCTGGACATTCACAAGTCGAAGAGCGACCAGGGTATCTTGTCGACGCTGCGTGGTTGCCGTGCCAACAGCAACTCGGTGAAGAGCCTGGATGCGTTGCTGTCGCGCTCACAGGAGCAGCTCATCGACAGTCCCTTCTCCATTAGCTTCCTTCACACCCTGGTACGTACATGAGCTTCTCCATTAGCTTCCTCCACACCCTGGTATGTACATGAGCTTCTCCATTAGCTTCCTCCACACCCTGGTATGTACATGAGCTTCTCCATTAGCTTCCTCCACACCCTGGTACGTACATGTGCTCCATTAGCTTCCTCCACACCCTGGTACGTACATGAGCTTCTCCATTAGCTTCCTCCACACCCTGGTATGTACATGAAGCTTCTTACATTAAGCTTTACATCCGCCGCTGGTACGTACATGAGCTTTTCATTAGCTTCCTCCACACACGGCTGGTAATGTACATGAGCTTCTCCATTAGCTTCGCTCACACCCCTGGTATGGTACTGAGCTTCATTAAGCTTCCTCCACTACGCTGGTAGCGTACATGAGGCTTCTCGCAATTAACTTCCTGCCACACCCGCTGGTATGACATAGAGCTTTCTCCATTAGGCTTCCTCCACACCCTGGTACGTACATGAGCTTTCTCCATTACTTCTCGCACACCCTGGTATTACATGAGCTTCTCCTTAGCTTCCTCCAACCCTGGTACGTACATAGAGCTCTCGCATTAGCTTCTCCACAACCTGGTATGTAACATGAGCTTCTACCACTTAGCTTCTCTATACATCCTGGACGTACTGGCTTCTTCCATTAGCTTCCTCCACCACCCTGGTATGTACACTGAGCTTCTCCAATCTCAGCTTCCTTCCATCGACCCTTGGTATTACACTGAGCTTCTCGCATTGCCTTCCTTCACCCTGGTTAAGCGTACATGAGCTTCTCCATTTAGCTTTCTCCACACCCTGCGTACGTAATGAGCTTCTCATTAGCTTCTCCGCACACCCTCGGTATGTACAGTCGAGGCTTCTCCATCTAGCTTCCTCCCACTACCCTGGTCTTGGTCAAATGAGCTTCTCCATATAGCTTTCCTCCACACCTTGGTATGTACATGAGGCTTCTCGCGATGTTAGCTCGATAAGCTTCCTCCACACCATACCCTGGGTATGGACATGACTTCTCCATATAGCGTTCCTCCAACCCCTGGTATTTAACATGAGCTTCCTGCCATTAGCTTTCCTCCACCCTGTCAATGTACATGAGCTTCTCGATTACTTTCCTCGCACACCCTGGTATTGCGACATGAGCTTCTCATTAGCTCTCTACACACCTGGTATGTACATCGACTTCTCTCCATTAGCTTTCTCCACACTACCCTGGTATGTACATGAGGCTTCTCCATTAACCTTCTCACACACCCTGGTATGTGACATGAGGCTTCATTGAGCTTCTCAACCTGTACGCTACAATGAGCTTCTCCATTAGCTTCCCCTCCACACCCTGGTATTGTACATGAGCTTCTCCATTAGCTTCCTCTCACACCTGGTATGTACACTGAGCCTTCTTTCCATTAGCTTCCTCCACACCGCTGGTATGGACATGAGCTTCTTCCAAATTAGCTTCCTACACACCCTGGCATGTCATGAGCCCTCTTCCATTAGCTTCTCTCACACCTGGATACGTAATTTGAACTTCTTCCATTAGCTTCCTCCACCCTGGTTATGTACAATGAGCTTTCATTTTAGACTCCTCCACACCCTGGGTAGAACGATACATGAGCTATCTTCCATTTAGCTTCGCTCACACCCTTAATGTACATGGGCTTCTCCTTAGTCTTCCTCCACACCTGGTATGTACATCGAGGCTCATTACTTCCTCCAACCCTGGTAATGTACATGAGCTTACTCGCATTTTTAGCTTCCTCCACACCCCTGGTATGTACATGAGTCTTCTCCATTAGCTTCTCTCAACCCTGGTACGTACATGTGCTCCATTAGCTTCCTCCACCCTGGTAGATACATGAGCTTCTCCATTAGGCTTCCTGATCCTCACACCGGCTGGTATGTAGCATGGCTTCTTCTCGCGATTAGTTTCTGCCACACTACCTGGTCATGACATAGCTTCTTCCATTAGCTTTCCTCCAACACCCTGGTATGTACATGAGCTTCTCCCATTAGCTTTCGCTCCACACTCTGGGTACGTATCATGACTTCTCCATTAGCTTCCTCACACCTGGGTAGTAAGCATGAGCTTCTCCATTAGCCTTGCCTTGCACACCCTGGTTATGTACAATCGAGCTTCTCCCATTAGCTGTTCCTCCACACCGCTGGTACGTACATGAGCTTCTCCATTAGCTTCCTCCACACCCTGGTACGTACATGAGCTTCTACATTCGCTCACAAGCTTCCTCTACCTCCTGGTAGATACAAGCTTTCTTTACCTCCTGGTGGATACAAGCTTTCTTTACGCTCCTGGTAGATACCAACTTTCTTTACCTCCTGGTAAAGATACATAGCTTCCATCTATCCCTGGTAGATCACAAGCTTTCTTTGCCTCCTGTAGATACAAGCTTTCGTGTGTGACCTCCTGGTGGAATACACCTTTCTTTAGCATCCCTGGTAATACAAGCTTTCTTTACCGTCCTGGTATAACTTCTTAACCTCCTGCGTAGATACAAGCTTTCTTACCTGCCTGGTAAAAAAAAAAAAGAAAAAAAAAGATACAAGCCTGTTCTTTACCTCCCTGGTAGATACAAGCTTTCTTTCCTCCTGGTAGATACAAGCTTTCTTTACCTCCTGGTAGATACAAGCTTTCTTTACCTCCTGGTAGAACAAGCTTTCTTTACCTCCTGGTAATAAAGCTTTCTTTACCTCCCTGGTATATACAGCTTTGCTTTACCTCTGGTAGATAAAGCTTTCTTTACCTCCTGGTAGATGACAAGCTTTTTCTTTTACCTCCTGGTGGATACAAGCTTTCTTTACCTCCTGGTAGATACAAGCTTTCTTTACCTCCTGGTAGATACAAGCTTTCTTTACCTCCTGGTAGATACAAGCTTTCTTTACCTCCTGGTAGATACAAGCTTCCTCTACCTCCTGGTAGATACAAGCTTCCTCTACCTCCTGGTAGATACAAGCTTCCTCTACCTCCTGGTAGATACAAGCTTCCTCTACCTCCTGGTAGATACAAGCTTCTTCTACCTCCTGGTAGATACAAGCTTCTGTTACACCCTAGTACACGCAACCTTCATTCACACCCTGGCATGTACAAAGTTCCTTCACTCCCTCGTTTACACCATGGCATGGACAAATTTCCTTCACTCTCTCGTACGTACATGCTTCCTTTACACCCTGATCGGTACGTGCAACGAGATCCATGCTGACTGATCGCTGCTGCACTGTTACAGGTGAAACTAGTTGCTGCCTGTAGCAGAGTGGAGCAGCATCTGAGGGGGCTGCACAACATGGGAACATGGACGCCCGGTCTGCAGAGCATCCGCAATCTGAAAAGTACGTTGTCACTCACATCAGGTCGACGTCAGTAGATACTAGACACGTGTAATGGAGCCAACACTGGCTCTGATCTCAGCTCTCGTAAAACACTGACACTGTGCCGAGATAGTGTGGACGGTAGCCATCTTCCGTGATAAACGAATAGTGGGGAGAGGAAAGCTGACGTTGGTACTAGAGCTGTTGCGTTTTACCTTCTTCTCTTCTGCGTATGAATGCATGCTACGTGGGGCAAGTTCCCCTGCTAGGAATTATTGTTCTCATGTTGTGGTGTGTCATAGGTGACTGGGACGGTGCTCTGGTCGTGATGGGGGTGAGGTGGAGGTTATGATATGTGTTTAATGATATGATTTGAGGTTTACGACACGATTTAAAGTTGTCGCTCTTTAATCGCAGGTGTTCTTAAGGTGGCTAGTGATGTACCGCTGCAGACGCAGAGCTCGATAGATGCATTCATGGGTCACCAGGTCACGACCTTCGACTCATCCGCCCCAAGTGGCTCGACTGAGAACGCCATACGGAGCATCCATGGCCCATTATTCACGTGGGAGTGGAGACTCATCTTCAAGAAACTGGTGTGTGCCAGACGCGTACACATCTGATGGCAAAAGGAGTTGCTTGAACCAAGCCTTTATAGCCAAGCATGTGTAATAAATGATCTCGCCTTGACATGAAATGAATAACTGGTAACGAATGAGTGTGGCTTGCAAGTTGCAACTAATTTTACAACTGTCGCTGATCACATATTACTAGTCTACCTTTCGTTTATCGCAACCCTTAAATGTTAAGTTCGCCAGGGCTACGGGCATGTGTGGAGTGGTTTCTACATTGCTTACAGCATCGCATTGCTCTCATGTGGTTTATAAATGTCATGTTGCTTTCAACATTGCGTTGTTGTGGTGCAGTTTTTACATGGCATGCTGCTTCTAACATTGCGTTGTTGTGGTGCAGTTTTTACATGGCATGCTGCTTCTAACATTGCGTTGTTGTGGTGCAGTTTTTACATGGCATGCTGCTTCTAACATTGCGTTGTTGTGGTGCAGTTTTTACATGGCATGCTGCTTCTAACATTGCGTGGCTGTGGTGCAGTTTTTACATGGCATGCTGCTTCTAACATTGCGTTGTTGTGGTGC